CACACACACACACACACACACACACACACACACACACACATTCTCAAGGTACTCAAAGCAAAAACTGAAAGATAAAGAACAAATCTAAAATTATGAATTGGGGTTCAGTACCCCAGTTCCTGCAGTTGAATTACTAGATAGAAAAGTGTTAAAAGACCGGACACCATCTAACATGTCTCTCTAAGATGATATACTTAGCATCTACGCATGACAGCAGCAGAAACTGTCCCTCCCTCCCTCCCTCTCTCCCACCCTTCCTTCCCCCTCTCTCTCCACTCTCTCATTTTTGTTTTTGTAGCTTTGGAGTCTATCCTGGAATTGGCTCTGTAGACCAGGCTGGACTAGAACACACAGAGATCTGCCTGTCTCCGTCTCCCAAGTGTTGGGATTAAAAGAGTGTGTCACCAACACCTGGCTCAGAATCAAGTTCACAGAACATGGACTAACACAGACCTTTTCCCAGAACAGCCATGAACAATCACTTAAAATCATAGAGTGTGCTTTATCATCACAGTTACACCAACCTAAACAGGGTGGAGAACCAACATAGCCACCAATCTAACCAAAGGGGACATTTCAAGTGAAATGCACACCAATGTATGGAAACTAAAACAGTGCATGCCAAAATATGTGCCGAGCAGTGAAAACAGTTCTAAGGGAGAAATTACAGCTATAGATACACATTAGATAACAACTAAAGTTTCACATCAATAATCTGTTTCCTCACTCCCAAAACAATAATGAAAATGAGATCAATGTAAATTCAATGCAATCTGAAGGGAATAAATAACAAAGACTGTCCAACAAACTAAAACACCATTCTTGTAGAAAAAAAAAAAAAAAGGTCAGAAAAACCAACAAATTCCTAGTAAGACAAACAAATATGTGAAAGCATAAAGCAATTTAGGAAAAAAAATGCTAAAAGTATTTAGGACCTGGATCTAAACATTGAGTTTAGATATAATGCAAAAAGCAGACCATAAAAGGAAAAACATGCCAGCGTGATAGCTCAGCTGGGAAAGTGCTTGCCACCAACCCTGATGACCTGAGTTCAATTCTTATAGGCCCTGTCACATGTATGTATTGCATACACACACACACACACACACACACACACACTAAATAAAACAATATTTTAAAAAGGAAAAACTGGTGATCATTTGGACTTCATCTAATCTGGGTTTCAGAAGGTTCTTACATCTCTTGAATCACTTCTCTGAATTTTGACTAAGGAAGAATAAGAGTATGACTGTCCTACCTGGCCTGAGAGCTTGCAATACTCTTGCCTCAGACATTGGAGTAGCTGGCATTACAGGGCATAGGGACTGCACCCAGTAAGACCCTATTATAGTTAAAACTTGTTCTGGGAAAAGATTCCATGCAGAAAATTTAAAAGTAACCGACAGATTAGAGAAACTCCGCAAATATCAACAAAAACTTTATATATACAATAGAGAGCTCTCTAGAGCCAACAATAAAAACAACAAAAAGCACCCCCAAAACAGACAGAACACTGGAACAGACATTTCCCTGAAGAAAATATAGGAATAACAAACACATGGAAATAAATTCACCATCAGGATCATTAGCTACTGAAATGTGCAGGTTAAAAGCAAGAATCACTGTGAGATATGACTAAATACCTGCAATCATGGCTAGCATTAAAGTGTCAATAACACCCAGACATGTAGTAGATGCAGAGAAATTGGATTACCCAATATGCTAGAAGAAATGTGTAACTGTTTAGTTACTCTGAAAGAATAGTATGCACTCTTTTTTTTTCCAAATCCGAGCATGTGTTTACCACATGTAAACCAGAAATTGCTCTTGCCATTTTCTTCAGAGGTAAAACTTAGGTTCACATGAAAGTTTATACATAAATATTTGCAGATTTATTCATGATAGACAAGAGTGGAAACAACCCAGATGTCTTTCCTATCTTTCAATGGATAAGTGGTTAACTGAACTGGGGTGTGTTCATCATAGAACGCTACTCAGCAGTCAAATGGATCAAACTATTCATATATGTAACAACATGGATGGGTCTCATGTATATGACCTTGAGAAAAAGCCAATTGTTAAAAATTGCATACTTTATTCCATTTATACAGCATTATCAAAATGACTAAATGTTAGAGATGGAACATAAAACATTAGTTTCAATATCGGGGGGCTGGTGAATGGGGAAATGGCTATGACTATGAAAGAGTAGCACATGGAATCTTGTCTCTCCACTGTTGTGATGGTCAAATGAATCTATACATGATAATAAACTTGTGTATAACTACAGCCAGGTATGATGGGGCATGTCTGTAATCCCAACACTTGAGACGCAGACATAGAAAGACCACAAGTTCATGACCAGCCTGGAAATACATTGAGACCAGCCTCACAAATTAAAAGTACATGAGTATAAACTAACACCCGAGTGAAAGTACAGGTTTTGAATTCTGAATAAGACTAGTAAATTTATTAATGTTCATTTGTGGTATATTATAGCCACTCAAGAAGTCTCTGGGTCTCTATGTTTCTTACATCTGCCTGTAAATGCACTGTTGTTATCTCAATATAAAAATAGGAAATCATAGTCTCATATTTATTTCAGAAAAATATATTCCAATATGTATATTAGAAACTACTACTCAATCATGCCCCTAATTTGATTTTGCAATTTCACCACAGAAATCCTCAGTCATTACTTATGCAATGCTCACTATGGTGGGTAATGGGGGATTTAGTAGTGAGAACAGCCTGAATCCTGTGTTAATCTAAAATTTGCCAGGACAAAAAAACAAAACAAAAACAAAACAAAACAAAAAACAGTTCTAGCATTTTTGGCTGAATTTATGCAAGCTTTTATTTAAAATATTAAGTACTGACCAAGATGGAATTTTGGTCAGGACCATCACTTGGAAATTTTCCCGATGAGTGTCCTCCAGACAAGTGTTGTTGGAGTTTATATAGGCAAAACCCATAGGCTACTACCATGCTTTCCCATGAGGTGTTATTTTCCAAGACCACCAACTCCAAAAATCCCAAGAAGTTACCTGGTCTTTGGGCAGGTGGGGATTATAGATTAACTAATACCTATTTTCAGGAACTTTTGGATTAATGACATGGAAATAGATGTTTCAAAGGGTCATTACATATACAGTCCTATGAGTGACAACTGTAATCCACTTAAAAGTCAGATGCAAGCAAAGTCATTTTAAAAATATCATACGTCCATTAAAAAATTATGAATATTATTTTACAGAATACAGTGCTGCATATAACACCAAGGGAACATTAAAGGTCACGCATCACTACTACTATGACAATTAATGACAACACATTTTATATGAATAAACTTTTATTGAATTTTAGGTAATTAGAAAGAATAAAGAAATGCAAGATAAATGCTTTCTAAACAGCATCTGATATTATTATCTCCTCTGTGGCATGGTATTTTCACTTTTCTTTAAAAAGTATAGACATTCATTTATTTAAATTTTTACAAAGTCAAGAACCATCAAATTGGGGGGGTGGTAACACTATGGTAAATTCTTCTTATCAACACTGAATGGTTACAATAGTGAAGTTCTGAGTGTGGTCCTCTAGAAAAACAGTTTAGGCAATCACTGGTAGTTTCCATTCACTCAAACAACTGAAGTCAGGAGGCCACTCCCTGTGAAGACTATGCCCATAGGCAAAGAAGGCAAGAAGGTTGGTGAAAGGGAGATAGAGGGAACAGAATGGAGGGGGAAAGAGGGGGAGATGTTCTTTGAAAATTGTGGGATAAGTACAAACAACTTAAAAAACAAATCTTGGAAGAAATCACCATGAGTTGCCCTAAAGTGTGATTAAGGCAAGATAGTCAACAATACAAGTACAGCCAAACACACAGAGCACAATATAGAGCAGAGAGCCTGTAAATGAATCTGGTGAATTGCAAGGCTAGCAAGCCAAGTAATCAGCCAAAAAAAAAAAAAAAAAAAAAAAAAGGGGGGGTAGGGGAGTCTTTTTACACTGGTATGCAATAAATCAGAAAAAAAATTGCACACACACATTTTCAGATGCTGAGCAAACCCCCAAGAGCACAATGGAAGATTATCCATTTGTCTAATCCTTATTATCCTTTTGCAAAAGAAGAGAATTATTTGAAAGAAACAAAACCAAAACAACTCCTGCCCTTTCTGTAACAACCTACTAACCTCTACTTGTCAAACAATGGGGAATTTTCCTCCTCAGTACAAAAGACATCAGGCACTATCATCATTAAAAGTGACCTGTGTGACAGCAGGGTTGCCATATACAACCTTGCTTCTTTGGGGCCCTGCCAACAAGGCAAATGCCCCTCCCCCTGCCTCTGATTTGTTTTACAGCCCACTCGATCCCCTGAACTGTGAGGGGCTTCCGCTGAGTTGCTCGGTACAATCACTGGACCAAGGTGTTTAGTTCACACTTTCCCAGTCCACTGTCTCTCAAGTATTTAAAAAAAATAAGTTTTCTTTTAAAAAAATATTTATTTTCAGGAAATCATGAACAGTAATTGCCATGGACCTGTAAGAGATCCCAGAGTAACACAGACAAGAATCTGTCAAGATAGCAAAATCTTCACGGTTCAGGAAGAGGTAAATAAATAAGTGTGTGGGGTGTTCACAAGAAGTTTCCCTGTTCTTCCCCATTTCTAGCCAAATTGTGTCCTGTACAAAGTTTTGCCTCTGTGATAAAAGCCAGCCCAGTTGGAATGCATCCCTAGTGCCATTAAACCCTCACCATTAAAGGGGAGTAGGTGACAGAACAGGCCACAAGCTTCCTCCTGTTTGTTTTGTTTTGTAAAGACACATTTTTTTGTTAAAAAAAAGAATTTTAATATTTGAATTCCACCTGGCACTTACAGTCTCCTGAAAATTATTAAGTTAGGCAGGAATTAAAGAACAGGTCCTCCTGGACCACTGTTTGGGTTTTAAGTGCTAGTCTGCTTCTGGCATTCTCCTTGGCTTGGCACATCATTTGAGATGACTCCCAGGATAACTGTGGTGGGGAAACAGTCTTCTTGAGTCTTCATGACAGAATATTCCAGGCCACATCACAGTGGCCAGGTGATAGCACCACCTTCTTGATGCTTTTTACTAATGTAATCGTACAAAGGCATATCTTTCCAGCACTCACCCACCCCCACTCTCCCCCTTGTTCGGAGGTATTCCATTTATTCTCTTCTGAACACAGCATCCTCAAACATCCTACACCAGGGATCCTGCCCGACTCTGGGCAGGCACCATGACAGGCACTGCACCCATGCGCTCCAGGGTCACTTGGCTGACAGTATAGGAGTGCATGTGCTGAGGCCAAGGCTTCCTGCTGACTGAACCATTGTTCCTGGGCATGACCTGGGGTGATGACCCTCTGTTGGTTGTCACTACCAGAGTCTTATGTGGACCAGAGACCAGATGGTTCCCATTTGCATAGATGGATGGGATAACAGCATTGCCAGAGAAAGACTGGCGTAAGTCACTGAAGCGGCTGAATGACTCTGTGTTTCTATGGGTTTTGGGATTGTTGTTCCAGTATCGACTGTTGTAGGTATTGGAAGAAGTCAACGTGTTATTCTCTGAGGAGGATATCTCTGTGTGAAATGCTTTGGCAGAAGAGCATTTAGGTGGAAGATCATCCTCTCTGAAATGAAACAAGAATTTAATTATGTACAATTGAAATATATATACATATATACATATATAAACATCTTTTTTAACTATAAAGAAGACAACCCTCAAAGAAACCCACTTAATTAGCTGTCATAAAGCACCTAAGAAAGCAAACTAAGCATGTAAAGAATGAAAGTCATTCATGATATTTAGACTCTTTTACTGTAATTCTTGCCATTTACTCTTTTTACCTCACTGGCAATAGGTCTTAAGTGTGCATGTTCTTAATTTTCCCTTTCCTAAACCATACTTGATATTTACTGTCTTTGTATATAGTTTTGAATCACGCCTCAATCTTTTCTTTAGACTAAAAGGGGAATTGTAGTGAGATATCCACCCTGCCTGTGCCTATTGCATTGACCACACCCATTGGGGCATGGGGACAGGTGCGGGCATGACATGGGGGTACTAGGCCTGGGGTCCAGGACCCCAGCTCGATCTTACTTCCTTGTTGGAGACAGAGAGCATTCGGAGGCATCCTTGGGATGGGAACCTGTGACGGTCATCTGTTTCTGGTGTAAGTGATTTCTCTCGAATAAACATCCATCAGCCTATCATGTCCCAGATTCTTATTTACTACGCTTTAGTGTGCTGATGATAGGCTAAAGGATGCAGAAGAGAAGGCCAGAGATGGAAGGGGAACCAAATTCCGAAAGCTGAGTATGTTATGCTGAGAAGACTGGAGTTATTAAAGCATATCAACAAGGATATGACACAGTCAAGGGTGAGACACTCTGGGCCCTCACATCCCATGAGCTATTTCCCTTTAAAGAACATCTTGACATTTTTCCCCCTTAAAACATTTGTGTTACTTTACAAAGTGCCTGCTATATTTTTTATGTCTTGGAAAGTCCATTAAGGGATTAGGATTAAGGGCTGGAAACTGATCTCCATTGAGGGGAGGGTGTAATGTAATCAAGTATAGCATTGGGAAGCAGGAGCTCTGGGTGGTGTTTATACTAGATAATGTCATCAGGATAGGACACAATGACTGGATCCCAGCTGCTTTGTAAGAAAAGAAAGATCGGACAGATACACATACCCTGTCTCTCGCTGTGTGATGTTATGTGCTGTCTTGTGACTCAGAGAGGAAGCAGCCACCAGGTGACAACCTCCTCCTCCCCCCCCCCGTCATAGTTCCTCCAGAAGCATCAACCAAAAGTATGTTATACAAAGTATGATGCCAGGCATATATTATTATTGTGTTGAAATATGATTAATATGCTCCTTCATACCAAGACACAGTTCAGGTGTGTAAGTAGGAAGAGAAACTGGTATGTTTGTGAGGTAATCCCTTTTGCTGCTGCATGTTCTATTATAATAGCCAATATAAAACACAGGTTTTAAGGCTAACTGTTCTGGTGCGACAGTCACTATCTACCCTGTAGGTGTGGAGGTGCAGGGGAGCTCTTTGTCCTACTTAGATTCATGAAGGATCTTTGTGAATAAAAATAAGTATGACTGTGAGAGAAAGTGATATATACATAGTGATAAAATGACATTTGGACATTTCCGTTACCTTGATCATAAGAGTAATAAGACTGGTCAAAAAAAAAAAAAAAAAAAAAAAACCTTCACTCTAAAATGGACAGAAATACACACTGAAGGTCAGTAATCTATCTGACAGACTAACCTGATTTCATTAGGAATGTCTTCCTCCTCCTCCTCCTTATTTTTGCTTCTCCAGTAAAAGAATGCCCCTGAAATTAGTGCAATGCAAATAATGATAAGAACCGCACCAGTGCCAACAGCTCCAGCTATCACTCCAACACTTCGGGGCTGGGCTGCAAAACATATTTAAGGTAGATTTAAAGAAACCAGAGAGAAATAGCACATGCCATGCAACAATATTCACACAAATAAGTCTGTTTAAAATGTACAAAACTGCCTAAAGCATCCGATGCTCCTCATGAAGTCAGATCTTGCCCCAACTTTGACATTCCCAGTAGGCTTTCAGCAATTGATGAATTAGTGAGTGAACTACCCAAATCTCCCAAGGCCCCAGAAGAGCAGCAACTGGAGAGGGCAAGAGCCAGTGCCTTCTCAACATGCCTTAGTGCCCCAAGAGAGCCTTGGAGCTCAGACTTTCTTTTATGGCCTTATCCCAGTCACATGACTCCCTTCTACAACCAGAATAAAAATAATATAGATTTCTCAACAAAAAATAAAATCCAAGGGATTGGGGGGGAAAACCAAGAGTGTTATGAGACTGTATACTACCATGAGTGACGATTATGTCATGTCCACAGCGCCAGGACATGAAGATTAGTTTGGTTCTGATGGTCCTGAGAAGACACTCTGTCACAAGGATTGGCATATCAAGTAGGCTTAAGTAGTAAAATTTTTATAACATGTCTTCAACAATGATTAAAAGAATTTGTTTACTCTTTACACAATCTCCAAACAATTATGTAGAACCCTGCATTTTATGACTTAACAAAAGTCTTTGACTTCTGCACCCTGAGTTGAACTTCTAATTCTATATACTTACGTGAGATAACCTGGAGATCCAGGAGACAGGTGCTCGTCCCGATGGCATTAGAAGCCACACACTGGTACAGACCTGAAGACAGGGCGCTGATATTCCGGATGGTGACTGTTCCCTGGACCTGGTCTGTCACAAAGACAATAATCAAGTGACAGCTTGATGGAATGAGGAAGGAAAACAAAAAGAAATCAGCCCAAAATGACATTTACACACACTGGAGAGCTGCCAATTTTCTTCCTTTTTTATGGAAGGAGAAACTGTTGGTTAACAAATGTTAAAGAAAATCGGTGGACCCCAGTGCACTTGGAATATAAAAGACCTCATGCTTTTGCATAAAAAAAAGAAAGAAAAGAAAAAGAAAAAGAAAAAGAAAATCATGACAGCATATTAAAGCCAGAATTATTAAGGATTGTCCCTTGAAAGTGGAGATCCAGACTAGTGTTAGCAGTCTTCCCTGACGAGGGATGTTTGGCTTGTCCTTGAGAGTCTGTGATCAGAAGCATCACACTGTAACTCTAGAGAAACACAGTAACAGGTTAAGAGTCTATGCAGTTGATTTTACACATGGCAGAGAAAGAATCAATGCTATGGTCCAATTCTAAGTATCACAGAATATTGGAAAGGGAGTGGAAGGGAGTCTGGAAAAGTGGAGCCTCACACCACAGCACCATTTCACAGAATTTCCCACCATGCATATGGAGCATCCTTGAGCCAAAGTCATCTACTGAAGACACATCACGCCATTGCAGGAATGTTCCTACATTAATGGTTCCTTGTGCCCCTTAACCCTCTAAGGGCAGCTAGGGAAAATTTGTGAAGCAGTGTTGGATCCAAACTAGAAAAAGGCAGAGTAGCCAGTGTTACTACCTGTATAAGGAGGATGGTTCTGTTCTCTTTTACTTTCAAAGCCACTACACTGGCATATTGAGAAATGCTCTAACTGGTAACACTTGGACAACTCAACAGTACCAACAAAGTCTAGTCATTTATTCCTACAAAATTTAAACGACTTACAACGGTAACAAAAAATATGCCAAGCATGAGGCAAATTTTTATGTGTAGCTATTTTTCCAATGACCCTTTGAGGTATTTTTATTAGTCTACTGAACAAATAAAGACACTGAAATGTTAGATAGCTGGCCAATAAGAGTACATATCTTGTGGCTAGAAACTGCAATTGTATAGATGGTCATTTAATATCTTCACTCTGGGCCTCATTGTCTCCCTTTAGCTGGAAAGAAAACATACCTGTAATTAGAACCATCCCCCAAAAAATGCAAACTTAGAAGCCAACATGGAAAGCTCTTAATGGCACATGTGAAAAGAACCAGACACAAAGTCCAAGAATTCCTGAGTCTATGCTGAGAACTGCCCCCACCCTAGCTTGACTTTTGTATGGGACTAAGTTTTAGTTATTTGCTAGTGGTTTTCATTTTTATCTACAACAAAGCCAGAAGGGTCTGGTCTTATCAGTTCCTTCATTTACTACATAAATAATGAAGACCCAGTGTTTATGTATGGGTGTTTGCTCCTGTTTCCAACAGGCATTAGTTGAGGGCTCCATGGACAAGTTAGTTGTTGATCTCACTCTCTGGGAGGGGCATTTATGATAGCCTTTCCATGGAAGCTCAAATTGTTAGTTGGCGGCAGTCTTGTAGTTCTCTAGACCTTTCTTTGTGTTCAATTTTATCTTCAAACCAATATTGGCTCCCTCTTTTATGTTCTCTCTCTCCTCTCTCTCTCTCTCTCTCTCTCTCTCTCTCTCTCTCTCTCTCTCTCTCTCTCTCTCTCTCTCTCTCTCTCTCTCTCTCTCTCTCTCTCGTCTTCTATTCTTAACCGGGCTCAATCTTCTTGGTCGCACATGTTTTCCTTTCCTCCCCCTCATTTTCTCCTGCTTCTCTCTCCATTCGCTGCCCCCCCCCACTTCACCTGTGCTCTGGGGGACTTGTCCCCAGTTCTGTGAGGGAGTTTATATTAATCTCTTAGAATACACCTTGTATCCTAGTTCCTCTGGTGGTATGAATTATAGGCTGGTGATCCTTTGTTCTAGGTCTAAAACTCAGGCCCCCCTGAATATGGGTCTCAGCCAGAAGGACTGAGCAGTCTAAGGGACCTCAGACAGTGGAGCCAGGATGTATCCCTGGTGCACAAAAGGACCTTGCGAACACATTCCCCCATGGAGAGATAACTGCCTTAATCTAGAGACAGGAGAGAAGCCCTAGTCCCTACTTCACATGACCTGTCAGATCTATATGATCCCAACTGGATGGCATTCCCCTACATATGGAATTTGGGTGGGGGGATGGAAGGGGAGGGGAGGGTGGTTAGAGTGCATGCAAGAGGGCAGAGAGGGAGGGAGGGAGGGAGAGGGAACTGGGATCAACATGTAGAATAATAAATTAAATAAAAAAAATAATGAAGACCCTCTCTCTGTGCTGGACAATCCAGAGAATAGTGTCAGGAATATCAACAGGACAGACCTTAATGAGGCAAGGAGTCTCAGTAAGTGGGTTAAAGGCCACCCAGGGCTATAGACCTCCAGTTGCTTTGGATGCACAAGGGAGGGCCACCTAATGAGCACCCGGAAATTGAACAGAATACAGGCAAGGAAGAAACCACAGCCACTGGCCCCCATATTGTTGTCAAGGTCATCTAAGCCTTCAAACACAATACAGTGGGATGTGTTTATAAATGATGGAATCATCAAACTTACTTGAAGTAACATTAATATCACAGGCCAGACAAAGGCGAGAAACTTGGCATTTGCTCTTTCTAAGGAATAAAAGGTTATATCTGTATTACATGGACATTTTATATGGATTGGACTGTATGTACCAAAGTCAATATACTTAATGGTTACTTGGTTTGCCTGCATTTCCTTTTCTAGTGTGGGTATGAGTGAGTGGGGGGAGGTGTGTGTGTGTGTTGTATGTGTGTGTGTGTGCATGCACATGCAAGAGAGAGAGAGAGAGAGCTTTAAGAAGGCCTGATTTAATCTTCACAACATGCTTAGGTTCTACGTTCCCTGCTTTCTGAAACTGGGAAATCTCAGAGTAGCCTTGACATTGTATGTACACAAGTCACAGTAGTCTGTCCAGTCAGACTTGTCCAGGCCCAAAGACCATAACCCTCACAAGTACACTTGCCTTCCAGCAAGACATTTAGAGCTATGTCAATACATGGATGCATCTCTACACAGCACCTATCCATACAAAGGGCATAACAAACCAACTATCTCCAGAACTCCTTCTTCAACCACCCCAAAGCTTCCAGAAAACAAAGGCACCAATTCTGGGGCAACCAACCCTACAATCCTTCATACTTCTACTGGTTTTCTTTCATTTTTCCCCTTAAGCCTCAAAACTCTAAATTCATTCAGTTCACATCAACCCACTAATTTTGTTGACATCCCTAGAGACAACTAGGGAAAATTTTAAACAGCTGCTCTAAGCAGCACTCGGACATCACCAAAGCAGTCTACTCACAGGGATACTGCTGCTGTAAAGAGTTACTTTAAAAGCTGAGGCCAGGGATTTTACTACTTTTTGTTTGTTCATTCGTTTGTTTGTTTGTTTCTGTTGTTTTTTTGTTTTTGTTTTTGTTTTTTTTTTTTTTATCCAGATGCAGACACCGTGAGCATGTGCCATTAGAAAATGTGAAATCGTGGCTCAAGTAGGCCGACATGCCATGGTACAGCTTACTCAAGTGTAATCAGTGACAGATGACACACACTTTGATAAGGAGGGATGAAGAAGAAACAAATCAGGAAAGCTGAGCTAGGAGCAAACCCTCAGCAAACACCAGGAAGCCACAGAAAAGCACACATCCCACCCTGAAACCAGTCAGGCCTGCCTGTGTTGGAACAGGAGCAATTTGCTGACATGATGGATAAGGGGAACTGTCCCTTTGATTTTCCTTCTCCCAAACAGAGACATGGAGTTTGAGGAACTACAGAGGAGGAAGGTGAAAAGACAGAAAAACCCACTGTTTGGCTTTGTGTAAACACGAATCCCACATAGGCTCTAGAGGTGGCTTAACAGGCCCTTTGGACTCAGAGAAACAAATACTAATGATTCTTTCCAATTCTGTTTTCTCAGTTCCCGAGCCCACATCTGGCTGGGTCAAACAGTACATTAGCTAAGAGCATGTGTTTGGGAGCCAGACAGCTTGCGTTCAAGTCTGCTCTGCCTCCTACTAGCTACATGGACCTGAAGGTGCTATCTGCTTCAGGATGTGAGGTTTAGCTTCCTCATCTATAACTGTGAGCAAGGAATTAGAAAAGCCCCTACACCCATGAGAACCAAATGAGATACTGCATGTTAACATGACCAGGATATGCTGTCTGGTGCCATATCCACACAAGTATACCTTGTAGATATATCTACATATCTACATACATACATACATATACATACATACATACATACTATGCCTCTAGTGTCTTAAATTATCAATTGATGTCAATATTTGGGATTTTTACAAGAGTAATAAGAATGCCTAATATCATAAATGTGTGCTTTCATGATTTATACATCTTAAAGAATGAATGATCACAGTAACAGTGAACAATTTCTTATTTAAAAGTATCAGGAGTTCTGTTTACAAGATAATAATAAATGAATGGTTTAATATTATTTAAGCCAACATGGTATAGTAAAATTATAGGCAAACATGATTATACCTCAAAACAAACACTTGATGGTAAATTTAAAACCAAAAGGAATAGCAACATAAAATAAATGTCAAATAGAAATCTGCTTTAAAACATGAATATGGGGCTGGAAGGGCAATATTACAGTTAAGAACAAAAACTGTTCTTGCAGGGAACCCAAGTTAGCTCCCCACCCCAGTGTCAGCAGCTCACAACTGCCTGAAACTCCAGGTCCAGAAATCTAACTCCTCGGGTAGCTTCATTGGGTATCCGCACTCAAGTACATCTAACCACACAGAGACACATATGACAAATCTTAATGAAAATTAAAGATGGTATTACAAATAGTATTGCAACTACGACTCTTAAAGGGAAAATTTAAATGCTCTGTGACATTTTGTATACTACTCAGGAAATTTTGTCTTCGCTCAGTAGACATATGAATTAATTATGTATCACTTTTATGTTGCTGTTG